TGGAGCAGCATCCTGGCTTGCCTCCTCGCTTTCTGTCGGCGGCGATTGAGGGGGAGGTGACAAGAAAAACGGAGGGGCTTCTCATAATGCCAGCGGACTTCCGAGCCATCTGACACTAAGATCCGACGTCGCGGAAAAAATGATCGTAGCAAAAAACGACTGCAGCCCTGGACCCTATCTTTTTTTGCCTCAATTGTCGAGACGGATCGATCTGTGATGTCCTCGGGGCCCGAAACCCGGCGAACAAAAAAGACCGGTTTAACAACAATTGAGACGCCAAGACCTTGAAGGGAGGAGACCCGCACCCTCTCACTTCCCCTCCGCGGGCTCGCCGCCGATTCTGGGCCAGCTCCCCCCCAATTCGGCGAACACTCCCCATCACGGTTAAGAGGGAGGAGGAGGAGGAGGAGGAGGAGGAGGAGGAGGAGGAGACGAGGAGGAGGAGGAGGAGGAGGAGGAGGAGGAGGAGGAGGAGGAGGAGGAGGAGGAGGAGGTGTGTAGGAGGTGTGTAGGAGGCGTGGCGGATGGCGTCCAGGAGGTTTGTATTAGGTAAGGGCCGGTAAGGGGGAGGGAGGTCCGCCCCTCTCCCTCCCTTCCCTTGGGCTCGTCGCCGATTCTGCGCCAGCCCTCCCATTCGGCTCACGCTCTCGCCACCACGGTCTCCCCGGACGCCTCCCCTCCCGGGGCTGGCCCTGGCGGGTCTGTGTCTTGCCGGCCCTGCTTCTGGCCGCCCCGGGGCCCCGGGGCCCTGGCGGTCGGACGTGAGGAAGTACCCGCGCGGCACTTCGGCATGGGGGAAGCGGGTCCCGAGGAAAACGGGTCCTGAGGTTTTTCTCCATTCTCGGGCTCCCTGGGCGTTCCACGGGCCGGGGACTGTCAGAAAACGACTCTGGATCAGGATCTCGTCCTGGGGGAAGGCCCCAGGGTCCAGGACCCGTCTCCCTCAGAACCCGTTTCCCTTGTGCGAAGGCGTTTTGTTCCTTTCAGTCGATCGATTTGAGGCTGTTTGTTTGATTCACGCGCGTCTTCTTGTATGTTATGTCTTCCCCCCTCCCCCACCACCCCCCCCTTTCACCCCGTAGCTGCTCGCTCTTTTCAAGCAGCGCTGGGCGGACATGGGCGCGCCAGCGAGTCCCGACCTGCGCGGACGGGAGGGGTATCCCTTCGGGGCCTGGCCACGCCCTCCCTTCACGTCGGGGAACTTTCGGGAAGCTGGAGAGAAAAACACGCCTCTCGCCGCGAGGGTTGTTCTTCAGTCCCCACCCACCAAGCCACCCCAACCCAACCCGAAGGCTCAGATTTACCCTCGATTTCAAGTGGGGGGGGGCCGGGAAACATCGAAAAATCACATGTGGAACCCTTACCCCCCCAACCCGAAATTCGGGTCTTCGGGTTGGGTTGGGGTGGTCTGGCAGGTAGTCATTCGGGGGAGGCCACGCGTACCCCAGAGCAGATCTACCTTGGCGGGGCGGCCTCCGCGCCCACCTCGGGGCGCCCCACGGCTGCGCTCTGGCGCCCGCCGTGGCCGGAACCGTGGCCGCCGCGACACCCCACCGGGGGTACATGCTGTCCCGGGGGTGCGCTTGAGGCCCTTCTCGCAGGCCATAGAGGTTGACACCAACACCAAGATCGGTGGTGTCCTTCCACCGAGGGAAGAGGATCCCGACCTCGGTGATGGTGGTAATATTCTGGCTTCCGAGGTGACCGAAATATTACCACCAACACCGAAATCTAGGATCATCTTTCCCATGTGGAGGCAACCCCCTGTGCTGGTGTTGGTGCCAATTTCCAGGCCTCCAAAATCCCTTTCTGGGCCGGCGCGGTGGTTCCTTCTGGGCCTCCCAGATGGGGTCGGAGCAGATGGGGTCGGAGGATCGCGCCGCATCGCCGATGCATCCGCGAGGTATCGGCGATGCGGCTCGACGTGGAGCCCATTTTCTCCACGCCGACGTCGCGGATGTATCGCCGACGTCGCCAGTGCACGGTCGATGCATCGCCGATGCATTGGCGCGGCATCGCCAATGTGTCGGCGATGCGGCGAGATCCTCCGACCCCATCTGCTCGGACCCCATCTAGGAGGCCTCTGTTCCTCGGTGCCCCCCCCACTCAGCCACGCGCAGAGGGGGGTGGGGGGAGGGGGAGGGCTTCTTAGAAGCACCCCTGCTTCTTAGAAGGCGCGGGCTTCATCTATAGATGTGAGGCCGGCGCCTTCTAAGAAGCGGCCTCCTAAGAAGCCTTCCCCTCTCCCTCCACCCCCTTGTGCGCGCCGCCAACCCACGCTCAGGACGACAGCGTCCTGTCCGACGTGCTCGGCGCGGGCGCGGCGGCGCACAAGCAGCGAGGACGCCCCGTGCCGAGAAGAGCGAGCGCCCGAGGGGGGGGGGAGCCGTCGTCGTCTCCCGCGCGCGGGAGCATGCGCGGAGAGCGCGGGGAGCACGCGCACGAAGGAGCACGCGCGCGAAGGAGGGCGGAGGGAGGAGGAGGCGGAAGGGAGGGAGTGAGGGGAGGTGGGGGAGGGGAGGGGAGGGGAGGGGAGGGGAGTTTTGGGTTCCGACGCTGATTGAGCTGTGGGCCTGCAGCAGAGGCCAGCACGCAGCTCGCAGAGTATAGCTCCGACGGGGCACCAAGGTTGAAGTAGGGCAGGCAGACAGTACCAGCTAGGCAGTCAGGCAGACTGCCGTGAGGCGCAGTCAGCCGCCTGCTGTCGTTCGTTGTTCCCGGGTGGGCGAGTTCTCTTCACCCCAGCGCGGCACGAACGAGACGCCGGCGGACGCAGACCGGCCATCGTCGCGCCAGGAGAGGGCAGAAGCAGATGCCCGCAGTTCTCGTGTGCTTCATCCCGAGGGACAAGCAATTATCTTGGCGAAGGTCCCAACCATCTGCAGTTGTGGGTATCGTAATTGTGAATATCTGCTTCGGTGATTCGTCCTTGTCCACATGCCCTTGGCGATCTCCTTCCAGCCCGTCTTCTCTTTCTTTGCATTTGTCGGTCGGCATCCGCCCCCATTTTTTCCGTATCGTGTTCCCGCAAAATGTTCATCATCGGCATAATCGTCATCCTCGTCCTCCTCCTCTCTTTCTAGGATCCTCATTGTGTGATCCCTTCTCACCTGGTGAAGAGGAATGCGCGCGGTGATCCCGATGACGGGTGATGAGAACCCTGAAGATGACGATGGCAATGCAATCAGACATCAAGTGTGCTCATCACCGCCAGCCCCCTAGTCGTCATCATAATCGTCGTCGTCGGTTCCGCCTCCTCCTCGTATTCGGATGAAGAGAGGTGGCGGGTAGACACGGAACGACTAATCCTGCCCCTCGTCAAGATCTTCCATCCCTCCCTGTTCCATGGGCCCTTGTGCTACCCTCGACGGGGGAGGATGCGCGATGGAGATCAGAGGCGTTAGTGGAGGGGTTGGAGCGAAGATGGCGATGAGGAACACACAAGGCAGATGCTGCGTCTTTTCCCCTCCGCCCTCCATCATCCCATTCCCCCCTTCTACCCTCCCCCATTCATCCTCCGACCAGGGGAATGTGTGAGGGCGGGGAAGTGGGAACAGAAACGGAGACGGGGACTGGGGAAAAGGGAGTATGGGGGCCAAGGGGGAAGACACGGTAGAGGAAACCGTTGGTGAGGAGGGAGGGGGCGGGTATTTTCACGGGATAGGAAATCAAATCGGAGTGATTTGTTCGTTGTTTGTTTCTAGAGCTCTCTCTCTCTCTGTGTCTTTCTGTCTAATTCTTTCTCCTCCCTCTCTCTCTCTTTCTCTCGCTTTTTCTCTATCTCTCTCTCTCTCTCTCTCTCTTTCTCTCCCTCTTTCTCCCGGCATTCCCCCCGTTGCTTCTTGCATTATCCGTCTGGTGGCGATAGGGTATGTGGAGATGGAAAAACAGAGCATACACCGTCTCATCCACTGCGCGTCGCCTCGGACATCGTTTCTAGAACATCTTCAATGCCATCCTCTCTGATGCCTTCCTTCGCATCCCCATCACCAACATCGTCATCATCAGCATCATCATCACAGCCACCATCACCATTGTCATTGAATCCCACCTCATCCCTCCTACTCGCGCCCGCCCGCGATACGATCGCAAGCTCACCAGTCCCGTCCCCGCAGACGGGATATGTCGATCACGGAGAAAGAGAAGAACGAGGTAACTTTGGATCTTTCGTCCTGCGCATTCGCTAGTCGATCGCATCGGCCATGTTCCTGATCCATCCCTCTGCATTCCCATCCATATGCCCAACGCCGTCCTCGCCATCGTCCCCATGATCACCGTCGCACCCTCACTCCACACAGAGGAGAAGGTGTGCTGATGATAAGGGGGTTAGGGTGGCAGAAGATGCGCGCAGAGGGAGTATCATCTTCCTCCTTTTCCATCTTCTCGTCCTTTTTACCCCGTACATTCGCATGAGCACGGCATGCCGATTCCTTCTCCGAAGAGGATATCTGACGTTGGTTGAGGAGCATGATATCCACGAGGGCGCGGTGCAGATGTAAATAGGCATGCATGCGAGTTGGCACCTTTTGGGCGTCTGCGCGACTCACCCATCCCATGCTTCTTACCGTACCACAACAACACGTGTATGTACTTTCTGTCTTACATTAGTTGGTCACGATCGGGGCAAGGTTGAACCCTTCGTAGGTTGCATTTGCTTTTGTTGAGACTGCTTTTTGGTTGCGCGCTGCCTTCAGCGCACTGCATACATAGTTGGAACAAACAACCGTCAGTTGCACATTCGTGAGTAATTTCTTGCCGTCGGCGCTATCATGCATCTGATGCAGTTAACTGCGTCTCACCAGTGTGTTTCACATCACAACTAAAAAAGGGGAGCACAAGTGTTGGTAGCGAAATTCGGGGCGCAACCTGCAGTTCCGAGGGCAATCGTTCAAGACCTCCGCGGGGAGGGGGCATGCACGGACGCGGGTGGGCGCAGAGGACAAAGGATGGGCGATCCGGGATCCCCATCCTTCCGCACTCCTCTCGGCACAAGCCGCCAGTCGGTCGGTGGGGACCGCTGCCGCGGACGCGAAGCCCGCGGGCAGGAGGCGGCCCGCCGCGCCTGCGGCATCGCATGCGCCCCCAGGGGGCCGCCGGGCGCCCGGCAGCCGAGGCGCCCGAGGCACAAGTCGGGGGCGGACAGGACGGGGGTGATGATTTTTTTTTTGGGGGGGGGGGGGGCAAGGCCAGATCCCTCGGCGTCATGACTCCTCCGGATCTTCTCGGAGTAGATGTCCCCCGGCCCGCCTCCCTGGGCCGCGCGCGTGCCTCGGACCGCGAGTTGCGACCCTCCCTGTGGGACGCGCCCGCCTTTCAGGGGGGAAAAAACACACAGACACAATCAATCGCGGATTCCGAGGAACATATACGAAAATATTGGAAGAGGGGGGGGAAGACGAAAACCCTGAAGATATGGGAAAATATTTGGGAATCCTGAATTTGTGTGTATTTCTTTGGGTGTCTCAGGCCCCTTCAGTCTTGGACGCTCCCGAGGAGAATGGAGGAAAGCCCGCGCCCGTCGCAGACGACCTCGGGTTCCTGTGGGCCTGCGCCCCCAGCGCGGAGGCCGTCGTGCCCGCGGTGCGGCCCGGCGATCTCGTGTGGGTGAGGCCGAGCAGGGGCAGCGCAAGGGGGGGCATATGCCTTGGTCGGGAAGCACAAACACGCACGCACACAGACACACAGACACAGACACACACACACACACACACACACACACACACACACACGCACACACGCACGCACGCACGCACGCACGCACGCACGCACGCACACACACCCACACACCCACACACACACACGCACACCTACACACCCTTACACACAAAACACACGCACACACACGCACGCACGCACGCACGCACGCACGCACACACACACATAACACCCACGCACGCACACATACGCACACACCTACACACACCTACACACACCTACACACACCTACACACCTACACACACACGCACGCACGCACGCACGCACGCACGCACGCACGCACGCACGCACGCACGCACGCACACACACACACACACACACACACATATACACACACGCACGCACGCACGCACACACACACACACACACACACACACACACACACGCACGCACGCACGCACGCACGCACGCACGCACGCACGCACGCACGCACGCAAACACAAATAATCGTCGATCTCCAGGAAAAAAAGGGAAGAGAAGGGAAGAGAAGGCGAGAATACGGGAAATATTCGAACATATGGAGGGAATCTGGGTCTTGGGCCCCTTCAGTTGGGAGGAAGTGTTTGGGACCTGGGGCGGTTGCCATCAGCTGCGCGTCGTCGAGGGCGCTGTCTGGAGGTGCCCGAATCGTCCCGAACGGCCGCTGGAGGACCAAGTTATGACCCGAAACGGCGCTGGGGGGGGGCAGGCTCATCCCAGACCCCCGACGTCTTGATTGTTTCATGACGTCGACGCGCAGAAGTCTCGACCTCTCCCCCGGCACGGGTGCCTCATCCCGAGTAATTGTTTGACGGTCCCGAGTTCTGGTAAGGGCCCCACAGGTTGATCACACGGAGAACTTCCCGTCATTATTTCTTAAGACCCGAAGTGGTCTGGTATTAGGGGGGTCGCATCAGCCCCCAAGTACCCCATTGATCGCCGATAGGCGGCCTCGGCCGTTTCCCCTCGAGGCTGAGCAGGGGCCGCGGCTGCCGCGGCGCGGTGGAGTCCGTGCGCTCTGGCGCCGCGGTGCAGGGGCCAGGGGCGCCTGTGGAGGAGCAGCCACCACAGGCACGCCCAACTTTCCGACGATGTGACTGTTCCCGGTCTTCTCGGTGGTTTTTGTCTTTCTCCGCCTTCCAGTCGTTCCCAGCGTCCCTCCCGTAGCCCCACCTGCGCCTGCACCGGCTTCGACCCGCTTGCGCCCGCTGAGCTAAAACTGTTCGGTGGTTTCCGCGTTTTCCTGGAGGTTGGAGCCGTCTCGGGCCTAAGGTGGCTCAGCACTGGTTCCGGCCAGCAGGAAAAAGGGTCGAGGTGTTCGATTTGCCCGGTTCGAGGCAGTTCTCTGCGTTTTTCCACTTGGGGGGCCGTCTTCGGGTCCCGGGGAGCGAATCCCGGGTGAAACAACAAGACCAAGTGGGCCTTGGGAGGGGTTTGGGGACCGATTTGGATCGGATTCGGCGTCATCCTCCCTCCTGGCCGATGTTCGGGGTTCCAAGCAGTTCAGACTCCCCGGCCGCCTCCAACCCTGATCATTTGGTACTGAAATTTTCCAGTCGCGACCAACGAAAACGGTCGCTACCGATTTTGCTTCAGATTTCGGTATCGGTCGCGACCGATTTGCTTCAAATTCGGCCGCGACCGATTCGCGATCGGTCGCGACCGGTTTGGAGTGCCGATCGGTCGCTACCGATCGCGACCGAACAAAAACTGTATCCAATGATCTGGGAACCTAGAGGCCTTTTTGCTTCGAAGTGGTGCCCAGCAGCCGGCGCCTCGCCGGAGACGGTCTGGGGGTGCCAGGACCGCTCCGGGTGGTCGCCAGGGGCCGAAGGTGTGCCCTGGAAGCTCAGCTCTCCGAGGATCTGAGGCTTTCAGGTCGCGCCCGCCTCCTCGAGTTCGGCCCCCAGGGACCGTGATTGAACTAAAAAGTGCACTCGGGCCGGACGAAAGGGGGAGATTGGGAAAGGGGGGGTTACGAAATTTGCTGCATGCAGCTGGTTTCGGCCCCACCGAGGGGCCTATTCCTAGATACATAGTCGCCTCCGGCGCCGGGAGGCGCGGGGAAAATCAGCTGCGTGAGCTGATTCTCAACCCCCCCTTTTGCTGTCCCCCCCTTTCACCCGACCCGATACACAGGAACACACGTGATCCTCGATTCCAATGAAGATGCAGAAAGAGATGGGAGGCGGAGGGGAGGAAGAGCATCCAGAACATTGGGGGAAATGAGGGATCCGTGGACTTGTATGTATGTTTCTTTGCGTGTCCCTGGGCCCCTTTCGTTCGGCCCTCAGGACCCGTTGGTGGTCCCGGGGTGATGCGAGATGGATCCGGGACGCGCAGGTACCTCGGGGGACGGGGTCCAGACTTCTGTCAGGAGGAAAAGAAACACACACAAACACAATTAATCCTCCATTCCCCCGAAAATATTGCAAAATATGGAAAGTGGGGGGGAAGACAAAAAACCCAGAAAATATGGGACAATATGGGGGATAGTTTGATTTGTGTGTATTTATCTGTGTGTCCCAGTTCCCTTTCATTCTGGGACCGCGGCCGGAGCAGAGCCACCTCGGCAGATGGTTGCGCAGGCAGGCCGCCGCAGGCTCCGCGTGGACGGGAAGGGGCGGAGCTGCACGGACGTCGTCGTGGGCGTCGACTCGGAGAGCGAGGTGTGGGAGGAGTCACCACCCACCAAACCACCCCAACCCAACCCGAAGGCTCAGATTTACCCTCGATTTCCAGTGGGGGGGGTGTCGGGAAACATCGAAAAAACACATGTGGAACCCTTACCCCCCCCAACCCGAAATTCGGGTCTTCGGGTTGGGTTGGGGTGGTCTGGTAGGTAGTCAGAGGCAGAGATGCCGCTGCGCTTCCCTCGCCGCCATCTCTGGACACGCCTCGGGGTCCTGGTCAGAAGGCGCCCCCTGGAGTGGTCTGGGGAGCAGCAGGCGGTATCGGCACCTGTTTGCACCCCCCCCCAAAGGTGGCGTGCGGCTCTGAGAGACTCACGCGGATCCTTCCCCCCGGGGAGCGCTGGGTCGCGGTGGTGCCCGATACCCTGAGTTACAGGCACCTGGCGCGCACGCAGGTGACCCAGCAGGACTGCGTCGTCGAGCTCGGAAGTTCGATTGGCCTCTGCACGGCCGTGCTGGCGGAGTCCGCGGGCTCGGTGCTGGGCCTCGACATCAGCCTGGCGCAGCTGGAGGAGGCACGCCGTGCATTTCCCGCCGTCCGCTTCGAGTTCCTGGACATATTCGAGGAGCACGCCCGTCTCCGTGGCATGTCGGAGGCCGCCCGCTGCACGGCCGCGTTCGTGGACATCAACGGCGACCGGGAGATCGCGATGGTGCTGCACGCGGTGGAGATACTCCGTCGATGCTGCCTGCCTCAGGTGCGGCTGGTGGTGGTAAAGTCGGAGGAGCTCTTCGCTGCCATGGCCGGCGGCCGCCTCCTGCCCACCTGCTCGGCAGGGGAGCCGTGGCGCCAGCTGGCGTCCCCAGGGAGCTTCCTGAAGCCGTGGTGCCACCTGAGGTCGGCTGCGCGCGAGAGGGGCCCTTCGCCGGAGTGACCGCTGGTGCCGGCTCACGGGGGCCCCCCCAGCCTTAGCCCTCTGCGCTCGGACCTGCCCCCCCCGCGGCCCCCCTCGGGCGCGCACCGGAGGTCACTCCTGCCCAGGGTCGCTCGTTGCGTGCAGCCGCTGAGGGAGCCTCTGCCCCCCAGGCAGCGGAACGCAGAGGCGCGTGGGCGAAAGGCATATCTGCATCCGCGGCGTCGCGGGCCGCGCCCCTGGGCTGCGCCCCCGTGGGTATGCCGTCGCTTCGCGGCTGCCCGTGCGCGGAACGTATACCCGTGCGGCCGCGTGTCCGCGGCATCGCGCCCCGGAAGGCAGACCGCGCGTGCACAGTGCCCTTTTTTAATGCATGCTCCGCGTGCGGATCAGTATTAAAAAGAAAGGGATTTAGTATTAAAAACAGTGATGAATGTATGCATTGATTTATTCGTGAATTGATCATGTATTAAGAATCTTATATGTATTAAAATCTTATGTCAGAAAAACTGCCCTGTACGGATGCGGACATGTCCGCCGCTGGCGAGAGGCCGCTGGAGCCCCGCCTGGCGCCCCAGCGGTCGGCAGCGGCCTTCAGCGCAAGAAGAAGCGGGCGCTGTGCGGGCGTGTGGCGGCCGCCGAGGGGCGCGCGGGGGGCCCGGCAGGCTCCGGCGGGGCGCGCCTGCCGCTGGGGCGGCTGGAGCGCGCGCTGGCACAGAGCGCCACGGCCCGCGGGGGCTTCCACTGCGCAGCCCCCTCCGCCGGAGGCTCGCGCGGGGGCCGTCATAATCAGGAGGAAGAGGTGCCGGTGCCGCTGCTCCCTTGCCCCGTCTCTGCCTCTCTTCGGCCACGTGCGAGAGGGGGGTGAGGGGAGGGGGGAAGGCTTCTTTAGGAGGAGGCTGCTCCTTTGAAGGCGCGGGCTTCCCCTGTAGATGTAAGGCTTAAGACCAGCGTCTTCTACTAAGCAGCCTGCATCTAACAACCCGTCCCCCATCCCCCTTATGTACCCCCCTCTGCGCGACGCCAATTCTTGAGCCTCCCAGGGGGCCCTCGCCGCCACGGCTGGGGTTCGCCTCGAAATCCTGGTCAGAGCGCGCCGCGGGAGAGGCCTGGGGAGTGGCGGTGTCGGTCTCTCTTTGCTCCCCCAGGCCAGGCGGTGTGCCTCGTCTTGGACGAGGACGACCACCCGCTGGCGCGGAGCCACCGCGTGGCCTGCGCCTTCGGGGACCTGGCCTCCGCCCAGGGTCTGGCCAGGGCCACGGCGGGCGCCGCGCCGGTGCTGCTGGGGCGCGGGGGCGCGCGCTCGGCGGTCTACGAGTTCTGGGGCCTCCTGAGGCCAGGGGGTGAGTGGGTTCTATGGAAGCTGTGCTTCTTATCGTACTCATCGCGCGGGGGCGCGCGCTCGGCGGTCTACGAGTTCTGGGGCCTCCTGAGGCCAGGGGGTGAGTGGATTCTATGGAAGCTGTGTCTCTTATCGTACTTCTCGTGCATGATGCACTCCTTTGCACGTCGGCAAAGGCCACGGAAAGCCGCTGGAGGCCACCGGAGGCTGCTAGAAGGCGCCTGACGGGCACTAGAGACCGCTGGTAACACACGAACGGCCGCCACAGGCCACGACAGGCTGCTAAAAATCGAGGCGGTATATGTTAGAACGAGCGTGCAAAAGCCTTCGGGCGTTTTTTCTGCCTTTCGGGGGGGGGGGGGGGGGGCATTTTTTCGGCCTTTCGGGGCCATCGCCAGACTCAGGGACCGTCAAAGAACTGTTCAGGAAGCAGCATTTGGTCCTGTATGGGTGGAGACGTCCAGAGGGTCCACGTTGTGAACTATTCATGGCGTCGGGGGTCTGGGAGGCGTGCCCTGTTGGCTGGCGATGGTTTGCAGAACACCGAGGAAGCGCGAACATGGATCGAGGCGCGTGGATTCGCGACGTCGCCATCGGGCGGTTTGGCTTCCTGTTTCGCCTCGCTCCTTTCGTTGAGAGCCTCATGGCCACCTCGGTATAGCAGGCATTGCGCTCGGGACCTCAAGTGGAAGCTTCCAAGGGGTATGTCACTGGCCCGTTCGCGCTTAGATTGTGTGGGGATGTCTCGCGCGAGGCGCTCTGTCGGCGTCCCCGACTCCAGCCCGTTGAGAGCCTCATGGCTATTTTTGTCCGTTCTTCGCCCACCAGCTCGGGCGGGGTGGGGACTTGCAGGCAGCATTCTGATACCCGAAAAACTGAGTAAAAAAAGCACTGAACACGTAAAGAAAACGAGCAGGTGGGCAACGAGCCGATGCCGGACCTGAGCACGTAACAAACAACGGCGCCTAACATTGAAAGAAAGTGTCGACCTTGAAAGCGCAACGGCAAAGCCCCCAGCGTTTATAGTATCATATGGGGGAGGGGCGTAACAAAACACGGCGCCCAGCATCGAAAGAAAGCGTCGATCTGGAAAGCGCAACGACCCCCCCCCCAGAGTTTTAGTATCATCTGGGGGAGGCGCGTAACAAAAAACGGCGCTCAGCATCGAAAGAAAGCGTCGATCTTGAAAGCGCAACGACAACCCCCCAGCGTTTTTAGTATCATCTGGGCGAGGCGCGTAACAAAAAGCGGCGCCCAGCAACGAAAGAAAGCGTCGATCTTGAAAGCGCAACGACGAATCCCCCAGTGTGTTTTGTATCATCTGGGGGAGGCGCGTAACAAAAAACGGCGCCCAGCATCGAAAGAGAGCGTCGATCTTGAAAGCGCAACGACGAAGCCCCAGCGTTTTTAGTACCATCGGGGGGAGGGGAAGCGTCGACCCCTTATCGCCCATCCGTCGTCGCCTGGGGCCAGCCCGACCCAGCGTCCCCAGGAGCGTTAGCCCTCGCAGTCGGGGGGGGGCTTCGTCGCCGATCTGTCGGCGGCGTCTCGTCGGATCCAGGCCGCTGCTTCCTTCCCCCGTGGGCCACCCCCTCTGCCTTCCCTCCTTCCTTGGCGCCCTGGAGGGTTTCTCCGAAGGGCTTCGACGACCCCTCCTCCTCCCCCGCCTCCTCCTCCCTCCTCCTCCTCCTCCTCCCTCCTCCTCCTCCTCCTCCTCCTCCTCCTCCTCCTCCTCCTCCTCCTCCTCCTTCTCCTTTTCCATCTCCTCCTCCTCCATCTCCCCCTCCCCTCCTCCTCCACCTCACCCTCCTCCTCCTCCTCCTCCTCCTCCTCCTCCTCCTCCTCCTCCTCCTCCTCCTCCTCGGGTCGCCTACGGCTCCGGGGAAAACCATGCACGGACGGGTGTTGCCAGAGGTGATGTTGTCCCGAGGTGACCCCAGCTTTGACCGGGGAGGCGCAGGTGGTGCTCGCCCCTCGCGAGACGCAGAGGAGGGCCCCCGGGGTCGCACTGGCCAGGGTTACCCCTGGCAGCCTCCGATGGGATCGACAGTCAAGGATCGACCGCACTCCGAGCCGAAACTAGGGCGCCACTGGAGGCACAACAAACGGGGGAACAACGTCCAGAACCTCGAACCTCCGATCGAGGGCCACCTTCGGTACCGCCCGAACCAGTATCCGATCCAAACTGGTCCCCCGACCCGTCCCTGTATCCGTCCCAGCCGTGCATCCGAGCCGCGTCACGCTCTGGCGGCAAGAATCTGCTTGTTTTTAGACGTCGACGTCGTCGACGACCTCGAGCATCCTCGTCGTCGTCGACGTCGTCGACGAAGTTGGGGGTGGTCGACATGCTGCCAGGCGGACCCCCCGAGAAGGCCTTTGGATGCCCCCCCCCCCTCCGATGGCGCCCAGGGGACCTCGGCGAGCCGGCAGTGGCACCAGGGAACCTCCGCGGTCGACGATGCTGAGAACGCTTGTTAGCCCAGCTCGCGTGTGTTCGCTGTCCGGCTGTGCCGATAGCACGCAGCCCGTGTCGGTCCTCATCACTCAGAGCGTGAATTACCTACCCCGCTTTCGCTTCCAGGCAAAACCAAGCCATACCACGCGCCTCCTTGTCAAGCGGCCTGACCAGTACAGGCTGCAATTTGGCATCGCTTGGTATCTCTTGGAAGCGAGGGTGGTCAAAAGCGAGGTAGGTTTGTTTGCCCCCTAGTGTCGGTCCTCGTCACGCCGCCTGCGTCATGTTGAAGGTCTCTGGTGGGCAAGCACACGCTGGCTCGAACACACGTCCTGAGGATCAGCGGCCCCGACATCAGACGACGCGACTTCTGCAATGCCTGGCCCCAGGGGCCCCGACCCCCTGCCCGGGGGGTGTTTGATGGCCCTGGGGCTCAACAATGGGCCCAGAGGCCAGAGTCTCGGACGAAACGGCCCGACTGAACTCGAACAGCTCGTATCGTCGGAGATCTGGGGATTCAGGTTTGGAGGGCTTCGGATTGCGCAACCCTGGTAATTGGTCCTGGCTGGCCTCGGCAGGCCCCCCGAGCAGTGTCTTGGGCGATCGCAGCACCCCAACGGGGGGTTCGGAGCATTGCAGCGGCGCCGACAGAGGCGGCGCCGGGGTGTTGAGACCACCCAGGTACTCGGTGGGCATGTTCAGGCCAGCCAGGACTGATTGCCTGCAGTTGGTGGTCTCCAAACCAGGTGGTGAGACACCCGGTGGTGACCCCGATTCCCCCCAAAAATAATTCTGGGTCACCACCGGGTTTGGGGACACGCGGTCGCCACGAGGTTTGCGTTTCCTGGGCCAGCCAGCGCTCGAAAAACATCACCCAAATCGCCCAAAACTCACCACCGGGTGTTCTCACCACCACGTTTGGGGACCACCTATGCAGGGGGGAGGCTGTCGGTGCGCAACTCGACGACGAGCCATCGTCGGAGACCTGAGGATTCCCGTGCTGCTGGCGGACCACCCGGAGGCCCCCCGAGGGCCTTCGAGGTGCTCGGAAGACTTCTGGAGGCACCCCGAGGCCCTAGAAGAAGGACGTCTGCGAGAATGTGGGTCCTTTCTCCGAGTAACTCGCCTTCAGTCGGGCGTGTCCCTCTACAGGAGGAAGATTTGAGAGTAGCGGGACATGCCCGACCTAAAACTAGCCTTCGCGAGGCAGTGGGCCTTTGGGGCGAAAATCCGGTCCATCGGCATTGACAGGGCCGCGCCCAGGCGCAAACTGCAGCGTCTCGTCTCGTCTCGCCTCGTCTCTAGGAGGCCTCCGAGGAGGATTAAGTCGGGCATGTTCCTTTATAGGAGTCATAGTCAAAAATAGGCAAAAAACAAATGTCTGGGGACGATTCTTCGACTATGTTTGAGCATTTCGTGCATATTGTTTGGACAACCTGTTATATTTCGCCCAAAATCCGCCTGTAGGGGGACATGCCGACATGCCCGACCTCAGAGGAGGAGCATGGGCCACCGCCACCGAGAACCCATCGGTAAGGGCTTCGACCCCTGGGCGGCACACGCCAGAGCGCTCTGCCGTGCTGGATAGCGCTCGGGCGTGCCACCGCCCAGGGGTCGGCCTCCCCACCGACGGGGTCAATCTGTGGCAGTTGCCCATGCTTCTCTTCTCGCCTGGCACCGCTCGGACGTGTGCAGTTTTTCTGGGCGAGGCCAGCGCCAGAGAGCCCAGACCAGCGTGGAGCACGTTTGGCCCTCGAGAAAAAAAGCGCGGCGCTCGGATCCAAACCGTGCACGGGGAATGGCCGTCCGAACGACGGTTTGCCTCAAAGTCTTCGGTTGCCTCTGGCAGCCTCCGGCTCAGGGTGATCGACGTGTTGCCGGTGGACCACCCCCTCTATGCCGAGCCCGCCGTGGGCGCGGCGCTGCGGGCGCTGGCGACCCGCTCGCGCTCGCGCTCGCGAGGAGCGGCCGCCGCGGCGGAGGTGCACCTGCTGCGCCTGGGCCCGCCCGAGCCCGCGGCGGAAGGCCTCCGGACGACGGCGACGACGACTCCGACGACGACGACGACGACGACGACGACGACGCAGAAGGCGGCAACGACGACGACGCAGGCGGCGGCGACGCCGGCGGCGACGGCGGCTGCGGCGACGGCGACGGCGGCGGCAACGCCGGCGACGACAGGGACGACAGCGGCGGCGGCGGCGGCGAAGTCGGCGTCGCCGTCGTCGCCGCCAACGCCGTCGTGCTGCCGAGCAGCCGCCGCCGCCGCTTCCGTCGCCGCCGCTGCCCGCTGCACTCGTCCTCGGAGCAACGTGGGACCTGCTCTACCGCTCTACCCTTTCTCCGGCCTCGTACTGCCCCGAACTCAACGGCTGCGATGTCTGTACACTGTAGACGCACCCACCCCATGTGTGGCTATATACGTAAAGACCTCCAGTGTATGTCTATGGGCGCTAGTGGCTAGAAAGCGGTAACGGTGTCTGGCACATGCCCGAGAGATACTGGCCGTCTAGAGTCGGGGAAACGCAAGACCCGAGTGAGCCGGAACTCGGGTTTGCCGACGTTTTTTTGACGAGCGCGTCCTGGATTTTGACGGTCCAGTTTTCGTGGCATGTATGCAGCGGGAGGTCGCGTCAAATCTCAGATTGGGCCTCGTCATTTTTCTGATGGCCCCGTCGGGCCAACCCGAGTCCCCCGTACCCGAGTCTTACGTCTCCCCGGTAGAGAAGCAGGTCGTTTTCGCCCGCCACAGTCCTCGCGCCCGAAGCTGTCGTCGTCGCCCTGGCCGCTGCTCGCCCGGCGGGGCCTCAGGCGGCCCGCCGCCCGCCTCTCCGGACGAGCTGCTCGAGCTGATCCTCCGCCCCGCGGGCGCGCGGGCGCCCACGGCGGGCCCCGCGCCCGGGCGCGCGAGCTGCGGCGGCGCAGCGGCCGCCGCGCAGCCGGCGCTGGTGGCCGGTGTTTGACGGGCGAAGAGCGGTATGAGATAAACTTTTTCGCCGTCGGGGACACCTGCCCCTGTCGGGCCGGGCGAAAGGGGGGACTTGGGAAAGGGGGGGTTACGAAATTTGCTGCATGCAGCTGGTTTCGGCCTCACCGAGGGGCCCACTCCTCGATACATAGCCGCCTCCGGCGCCGGGAGGCGCCGGGGAAATCAGCTACGTGAGCTGATTCTCAAACCCCCCCTTTGCTATCCCCCCCTTTCGCCCGACCCGACCCTGGGCGGCTGGAAAGGTTATACCCTTGCGGTGTCACCGTAAGGGTATAGACTTTCCAGCCGCCCAGGGACAGGCGCCCCCGACGGCGACAAGGTTTATTTTATACCGTTCTTCGCCCGTGAAGGTGTGGCGTGCGCGGCCGCGGTGCTGCTGCTGGTGTGGGCGGCGAGGGCCTCGAGAAAAGGCTGCCCCTCGCGATGCAGGCATCGCAGTGGCGGGGTCCGAGGAGGCGGGGTCGGAGGGCCGCGCCGCATCGCCGATGCACTGGCGGTGCGGCCCAAGGAGGAGCCCGATTGTCTCCAGGCCGCTGTCGGCGACGCGGCGCGATTCTCTGACCCCATCTGGTCGGGCCCCATCTGGGAGGCCTCTTATTCGAGCGCGCAGATCCCAGAGTCGGAGACCGATACAGTCAGGTACTTTGGCTCAGCGTTTCGCGTCGCTGGTTCTTGCCCTCCACGCTGCCGCGGTTCTCCTGCGGGCCTTCGCCTGCGGGGTCTGGCCCCAGGCCGCTTTTCTCAGAAGAGCAGCTTGCTTCACCCTGACATCCTCCCTCCCCCCAGGGCCGGTCCGCCTCTGGGGCGTGATCAATTTAGGGCCAGGTGACCCCCGGAGCACCGCTCGAGGGGTCACGCAGGAGATAACGCAGGGAAACAGACAGGCAGATGCCGGGAGGAGGAGAGAAGGAAGGAGGGAGGAAGGAAGATACCGCTACCGCTGCCCTTCACTCGTGTTCCTCTCTTTTTTCGGGCCCCCTCGAACCCCCTCGAACTTCGAGCCTCGCACTTTGGGTCTCGAGGCTTTTGGGGCCTCTGGGGGGGCTTCTCGTCGCCACCGCTGGATTCGCCAGAGATGTTGGTCAGATCCCATCGCGGTAGACGTCCAGGGAGTAGCGTCATTGGCACTTTTCGGTTTCCACAGATTCGTGTTCTTAGGCATCCCTCGTCCTTTGCTGTCAGGGAAGCGGGAGAAGGTGGAGGAGGGCCTGCCTCTCCACCTCGTCGGCCTCATCTCACCTTTTCCAGATTCGTCTGTGGAGCTATCGGGTCTACGACCTCGTCCTCACAAGGCTGATGATCAGAATGATGATGATGATGATGATGGTGATGATGATGATGATGATGATGATGATGATGATGATGATGATGGTAATGGTAAGGGTAATGGTGATGATGATGATCAGGATAATGATGATAATGATGATGATGGTGATGATGAGGGTGATGATGGTGATGATGATACTGATGACGATGATGATGATGATGGTGATGATGGTGGTGATTGTGTTTGTGATGGTGGTGCCGATGCTGATGATGATGATGATGATGACGATGCTGTGATTCATGATGATGATGATGATGATGATGATGATGATGATGATGATGATAATACTGATGCTGAGGATGCTGACGACGATGATGCCGATGCTGGTGATTGTGATGCTGATGCTGATGCCGATGCTGATGCTCATGCTGATGGTTGATGATGATGGTGGTCATGACATGATGATGACGATGATGCTGGTGATGAATATGATGATGGATGATACGGATGATGATGCTGACGATGACGATGATGATTACGATACTGATAGTGGTTCTGATGATGACGAAGAAGATGATGATGAGTATGAGGAGGATGAGGATGATAAAACTGATGATCAGTATCAGGATCATGATCATGTTGATGCGGCGGTTGATGATGATGATGCTGATGCTGATGAAGGTGATGATGATGACGATGACGATGACGATGATGATGATTATGATGATGATGATGATGATGATGATGATGATGATGATGATGATGATGCGCATGCTGATGATTATGACGATGATGCTGATGATGATGAGGAGGATGATGATTATGGTGAGGGTGATGGTGATGGTAATGGTGATGATGACGAGCAGGAGGTGGAGGAGGAGGCGGAGGAGGATTGTGATGGTGATGGGGATGAGGAGAAGGAAGAAGATAAGGAGGACGGAGAGGATGGATTGGAAGCCGGGGAGGCAGGACGATCTGCCCGCTACATGTCGAACTCGAATATGTAATATCTTCTCTTGACCTCCATCTGTCTGTATATATATATATGTATAATGAAATAGAGATATGCTGCGATGGCACATCCTCCTCCAAGAACAACCCCCCAACGGCGCCAGCGGAAGGGCCCACGGGAGGAGCCTCGAGCCTCTCGACCCTCGAACCTCCTGCTGCCCCGCCGCGAGGACTCCGTCCGCCGCGCTCAGTAGCCACTGTGGCTCAGTGCGCCCCCCTGGAGCGCCCCCGAGCGAGTCCTTCTCCGCGAGAGCGGGGCGCTCCAGGCTGGCTGGCGCGAGCCGATATGCCGCGCCTTGGGCCACTGCGGCGGCCACTGGCCGCCGTCCTGCTCTGCCTTGCGGGGAGGTGCTCCGCCGGCAGCGCCAGCCGCCCACTGGCGGACCTCGCGCGGGCCAGGGAGCTCAGAGGAGGATGAAATCGGCGCGACCCGAAGTAGGGCGCAGTGCTTGGCATTGCTTGGCATTGCTTGGCATTTAAACCCGAGGAACCCGAGGAACCTCCGAGCAACGAGGAACCCGAGGAACCCGAGCGACCTCCGAGCAACGGGCAAAGTAGCCCCCCGAGGCACCAACCTGTAACCAAGTAAGATCCCCTCAGGCAAGCCGAACTGGGGAAAAGGGTACCCAAACTGCTACCTTTCGATCGTTTTCCTCTTTTTGGCCCTCCTGGGAGGCCCTCGTCGCCAGCGTTGGGTTCGCCTCCAAATCCTGGTCAGGAAGCGCCCCGGGAGAGGTCCGGAGAGTAAAGTATCGGTACCCTTTGGTTCCCCCAGGAGCGCGTGCCGCGAGACGCTTGGAAGGGCCACGACTTTGCCTCGATGAGCGGCGTGCTGACGCTGCGTCTCCGCGAGGCCGGCTTTCGCGTCCGGGACTGCTCCAGCTGGTCGGCCTCGGAGCTCCAGGAGCTGCAGCGGCGCATCTTCCAGGAGGCGGAGGCGGAGCTTCTGGCGGTCTACTCGGCCGCGGCGGACAACCGCCGGCAGCGGTTTGGGAGCCTGGGCGAGCTCGAGGCGCACTGGGCGGCGGTGGACGGAGCGGCGGAGGCGGGGCAGGGGCTGCGCGAGGTGCGGCGCGACGGCCTGTGCCACGAGGCCGTGATGTGGTGGGTGCACCACCTCGCCAGGCCGACGCAGCGGCGGCTCGCCGCCGAGGGGCTCCTCTTGCCCTCGCTGCCGACCGCCAGGCACGCGCCGCGCGCAGCAGCGCGCGCGCTGGCAACCCCCGAGAGCGTGGTGCACGCGGAGTACGCCCAGCAGGTGTCCTGCCAGCAGTGCCACACCGGCAGGATCGGGCCGCCGCTCGACAACGCCACGCTGCCGCCCCCGCTGCCCGTCGACGCCGCCCACCCAGGCAGGGAGCGGGTGCGGTCCTGCGATTTCCAGGCGAAGCGTCGCAGAAGAGCGGGTCCGGCTGTGCCGACATTCACGCGCAAGCTGCCCGTGTGAGGCCGCGCGCAGGCGTTTTTTTTCCTGCAGCATAGCGTGCCGCGCTCGCAGCCCGCGCAGGCCTCTTGGCGTAAGGTCGCTGTGTCGTCTCGCGTAAGGCCCGTTTCTTTCAGTCGCTCAGGCGAAGCCCCCGTGCGGTCCGTGCGACGGCCTGGGGGGCCGCCGCTGGGGCGACGACCCGGAGCAGATGACACCGATGCCGTGCGAGGCCATCCACGGGCCGGAGGTGCCCCGCTCCACGAAGGGGGCCTACCCCCCGCTCGCTGCTGCGAGGCTCACGGGCGACACGCGCTGGCCGCTCGGGCCCATGCCGGTGCTCCCATGCGAGTACCACAACCTGAGCGCCCGTGTCTACTTCGGCTGGCACGGGGACATGATGCGCATGCGCTACGACTTCGCTGGGATGGGCACCGAGGTGGACTCGCAGACGCTGGCGCAGGCGAAGGCTGGCGACCCGGGCGCGAGCATCCACGCCGACGCCTCAGGCCTCGTCTGCGCGTGCACCCCTGCGATGGCTGGCATCATGCACATCAGGAGTTTCGAGCCCGACGACCCCCTGGACACCCTCAGGCTCCCGCCGGAGCAGGGCGGCGCGGCATACCTTGGCAAGGTCCGGGTGCACCTGGACGGGGACAGCCCGGAGACGAACGGGACCGTCCGGATCGCGGACCACTACATGAAGTGGGCGTTCCACCTCCTGGTCGACGCCGACGAGCACAGCCCGACGTTCCGGCTCCCGCTGCGCCTGTACGGATCGCTCGGCGTGCGCCAGGTGAGTGGCCAGAAGAAGCGGGGCCGATTTCGCCGGCATCCGTGCGCGGAAGCTGCCCGCGCGTAAGGCCGCGCGTGGGCGCCCTCGCACGCCGCGGCAGAACCTCAGGGGTTAATGTCGCCACGCCATCCTGCGAAAGGCTTGCTTCTTCTCGTCGCTCAGGTGTTCGACACCTGGCAGGTGGGCGACCCCGCCGTGGAGCGCCCCGACCTCTGGCTGCTGTCGCCGCGCTGCAACGTCACGGCCCCTGCGTGCGCCAACTTCCGGCCCCAGGTCGCGGACCTCGTGGTCTGACGGCGCGCCGCTTCTTTTTTCCCCTGGCACGCCCGACCCTCGCCCTCGGCAGACGGGGCCTCTGGGTCGGCGCTGGTGCCAACGATCCCGGACGAGAAAATATATCGAAAACATCACCCGCGGCCCAGCTTCGACGTCGACCAGAATCGATCGACCGACCGATCCACCGATCGACGACCCAGCTCGCCATCCTTCTTCCCCTGAAGGCCTCCGGAGGCTCGCGCGGAGGCCACGCGGAGGCACCGTGTGGCCCTCGAAGGGAACGCTCTTCGGACCAGGGCCGTATCTCGAATCGAGCATCTCGGCGGACTGCGCTGGCGCCGGCGGGCCGGCAGACCGCCTTGAGGACCCCAGCGGCAGCGGCGATCGACGACGACGACGAAGGCGAACTTGAGATTCGCGGGAGACTGCCAGAGGCTCCCCCGAGAAGGTTTTACCGCGGAAGGCCCCGCGGAGGCTTCCCGAAGGTCTCGAGGGCCTCCTCTATTCGGGTTGACCCATACTGGGGGTCCAGCGACAAGGGGGTGGTGCATTAGATTTGGTGCAATAGGTTTGTGGGGTTGCAATACATTTGGGGCGTGCAATACATTCCAGGGCGCAGATGTATTGCTGGATTGTCGCGCGCAACACATTACTTGCAACACAATGCAATACAATTCTCAAAACCTACTGCACCACCCCCTTTTTCAGCTGGACCCCCTTTTGGGCCACCCACATCTGTAGGGGCGAGGCGCTGTGATGAGGACCACCTGAGGCTCAGAGGAGAGGCTCTATTCAGAGCGTGAATTGCCTACCCCGCTTTCGCTTCCAGGCTAAGCCAAGCCATACCACGCGCCTCCTCGTCAAGCGGCCTGACCAGCACAGGCTGCCACTTGGCATCGTTTGGTATCTCTTGGAAGCGAGGGTGGTCAAAAGCGAGGTAGGTTTGTTTTCCCCCTATCTATAGTCTCTGGGCCGCTTTTTCGAGGTCTGCGTCGGGCACCTGTCCGGTGTCCAGGCTCGCCGTGGCCGGAAGAGTGCCTTCCCGGGCCTCCCGGGTGGGGTCGGGGGTGGACAGACCTCTCGGGGGTGGACAGAACCCCCAACAGTGACACGTCGATTAGTGAATTGTCCGTTTTCGGTTCTCGAGACGGCGCCGTGGCCGTTATTTTCCAGGCTTGCGCTCGCCAGGTTTGGGCCTCAGGTCGTTTTCACTAAACCACGTTTTACTAAAGGGGGGTCTGTCCATCCCCGAACCTCCTACCCTGACACGTCGATTAAGGAATTGGCCGTTTTCGGTTCGCGAGAGGGCGTCGCGGCCGTTATTCTTGCGGGTCCAGGTCCGTCGATTTCGGTCCTAGGTCGTTTTCGCTAAAGGGAGGTTTACTAAAGGGAGGTTTGTCCGCCGCCGATCGGAGGATCGCGCCTCATCGCCGATGCATCGGCGATCAGCTCGATGTGGGGCCCAATGCTCTCCACGCCGACGTCGCCGATGCGACGACGACGGGCTCGGCCGCAGGAGGCCGAGCTCGTCGTCGTCGCCGTTGTCGTCGACGTCGTCGGCGGCGGCGGCGGCCGCGGCGCCGGCCGGCCGCCAGAGGACCCCACCAGCTGCGACCGAGCTTCCCCCCGATCCCGGAGGGCTGCGCCGCCGGCGCGGCGCCGCCGTCCCCGCCGCCTGGCGCGGCGGCGCGCGCCTCTGCGGGCCGTCGGCCGTCGGCCGCCGGCGTCCGATCGGCGTCCGATCGGCGGCCCTCGCGGAGGCCTGCAGGACTGCCTCGAGCTTCGAGCCTCGAGCCTCGAACTTAGCAAGGGCGCCCTCGAGGGCGCGAAGTTCTTCGCGCTTCGCGGTTCGGCTCGGATTCCCCCTCATCCTTTTCTTCTCCCCTGGGGAGTGGCGCGAAGCGCGGAGTTATTCGCACTTCACGCAGCGCGAAGCGCGAGGTTTGGCGCTTGTGCTTAGGGTCTCGTGGCTTGTTGGACCTCTGGGGGGCTTCTCGTCGCCACGGCTGGATGCGCCTCCAGTTTCTGGTCAGAACGCACCCCAGGAGAGGTCTGGGGGTCGACTTGCGACCCCCAGGCACAGGGCCACTCGCGTCGTGTTAGAACAAAACTCACGGCGGTTTGTCTTGGGCGATTGGCGATTGGCTCCATTGGCGATTGGCTCCGTCGGATGGTCCTCGATGGGCCCCAGGACCGTCCAAACACGACTCATGACGAAAAGCCGGTCCCGGCGGATGGGTCGAGATCTCTGGGGGTCCGCGCTGTAAATGAATGACGGCGTCGGGGATTTGGGTCGGCGGTCTTCGCGGCCCAGAGCGTCGACTCGTCGGTATCGTCGCCACCGTCCGTTCAAATCTGGGCGTTGAAACAGAAGAAGTATGTTTGCCAGAGTGGGCCCTGGACAGTGTGTTGGTGTACTATGGATGTGCAAGCTGCGTGGTGTAATCTACGTAATGCAATCCACCCACTGCGCAAAATCCGCGCGTGACCACCTCCCATGCTCGCGCAAGCATCCCATCCACCCACCAGCAACTTGTTGCCAACGCTCATGGCCATGATCTCCACGAGCGCACGGGCTTATGAAACTAACCCGCGCATACGAATCCGTACTCCAGGTCGCGAAGTGATGGTGGCGATGTTGACGACCGCGACGCTAATGACGATGATGATGACTGATGACCCTGATGCCGGTGGCGATGACTAGGAGATGGGGGCGATACAATGTCGTCGACGATGATTGTTATGGTGATAAGATTATGGTGAGAATGACGGTGGCAAGGGTGACGCTGGGAATGATGACGACGATGGTGCCAGTGATGAAGATGACGAGGTGCCCGCGCAGGGCTACGATTTCAACGACAAGAGCGGTGACGATGATCCCGACGATGGTGACGATGATTATGACGATGGCGATGTTGACGCTGGCAATGATGATAACGATTGTCGTGATACGGATGATGAGAAGGTGCTCGCCCGCAAAACTCCAAACACCGTGGCATGCAGAGATTGTACTTAGCGTTTCTTACCTGCGTCCCTAAGAAATGGGATCGCCCCGTCGAGGTTTCGCCATTTCGCCGCCCGTCGCCCCCGCGTTGCCGCCCCGTCGCCGACCACTTGTGGGTCCGTCGAGGTCTTGCCGCGTCGCCGCCCGGTACCGCCCCGTTGCCGCCGCATTGCCGCATCGCCGCCCGTTGCCGCCTCGTTGCCGCGCACCGAGGGGCCGTCCGTGGAGGTTTCGCCTAGTCGGGGGGTCCGTCGAGGTTTCGCCGCGTCGCCGCCCGCTGCCTCCTCGTTGCCGCCCACTTTACGGAGTCCGTCGAGGTTTCGCCGCGTCGCCGCCCGTTGCCGCGTCGTTGCCTCCTCGTTGCCGCCCACTTTACGGAGTCCGTCGGGGTTTCGCCGCGCCGCCGCCCGTTGCCGCGTCGTTGCCGCCTACATTGGGGGAGTCCGTCGAGGTTTCACCGCGTCGCCGCCCACTGCCGCCTCGTTACCGCCCTGTTGCCGCCAACTTGGAGGGGTGTCTGTCGAAGTGTCGCCGCGTCGCCGCCCACTGCCGCCTAGTTGCCGCCCTTTTGGGGAGCTCCGTTAAGCTTCCGCGGCGGCGCCGCTCATTGCCGCCTCGCTGCCGCCCATTTTACGGCGTCCGTCGGGGTTTCGCCGCGTCGCCGCCCGTTGCCACCTCGTTGCCGCCCACTTGGGAGAGTCGTCGGCGTCTCGTCGCGTCGCCGCCCGCTGACGCCTCGTTGCCGCCACTTTGCCGCCCACGTGGGGGTATGTCCGTCGAGATTTCGCCGCGGCGTCGCCCGTTGTAGCCTCGTTGTCGCCCCGTTGCCGCCCACCTGGGGGGTGTCCGCCGAGATTTCGCCGCGTCGCCGCCCGTTGCTGCCTCGATGCTGCCCCACAGCCGCCCACTTGGGAGGGTCCGTCGAGGTTTCGCCGTGCCGCCGCACATTGCCGCCTCGTTTCCGCCTGCCGCGCTGAGGGTGCTTGTCGAACTTTCACCACAGCTTACACCACATAGCTTGCACCACGCGCTACGTAGTTTTCACAATGTAGGCTCCAACACACAATTTACCAACCCGCAGCGCAATCACCATCGGAAGAAACTTACTGTGTTGATTCCACGCTCGTTAATTGTTGTTTTTGCATGCCTTGAAACAAGTGCTGAACCATGGGTTTGAATTGGTTTTGACGCACGCGCACGTGCGCGTGTATTGTTTGACAGAGTTGGTGCTCGCGCGATGGTGGTTTCAAGTGTTCGACACGCGCGCGCAAGTAGCCCGCAGGTTCGGAGAAGGCAGAATTATGGTGTCGAGAAGCAGTTGAGTTCGTAAGATGTCTGCGATTGCAGGCGCGCATAGTTCAGGTAGTCCCTTTCTTGAACAACCAATTCTGTTCTGGGATAGTTTTGAAAAGCCGCGCTGTGACATTGAACATGCGTTACTGACTTTGACGTGCGCCCACTCGGCGCCGCGCGTATACGCCCCGTAACGAATATGTTCCAAGGGGCCTTTTCACAAATCACAGCACATGTTAGTTAAATTATCCCAGAGCGACCCTACCTAGGAGTTGGAGCCCCGAAGAGAGCAATATGCTATGCTAGGGTATGCTAGGCTGCGCTATGGTATGCTAGGCTATGCTATGCTATGATATGCTGCGCTATGCTATGCTATGCTATGCTGCGCTATGATATGCCATGCTATGTTATGCTGCGCTAGGCTAGGCTAGGCTATGCTATGATATGATATGATGCGCTATGCTATGCTATGCTATGCTATGCTGCGCTATGATATGATGTGATATGCTATGCTGTGCTATGCTATGATGTGCGATGTCATGCTATGAGTTGCTGCGCTATGCTATGATATGCTATGTTATGATTTGATATGCTTTGATATGCTGCGCTGTGCTATGATGAACTAAGCTATGCTATGATATGGCATGAAATGGTGCGTTTTGCCATGACATGCTATGCTATACTATGCTATGTTGCGCTATGCTTTGCTGCGCTATGCTATGATATTGTATGATATGCTATGCCATGCTATGATAATGCTGCGCTGCGCTATGCTAATACTGCGCTAAGTTAAGCTAAGCTGAACTAAGCTAAGCTAAGCTAAGCTAGGCGTGGCTAAGCTAAGCTAAGCTAGGCTAGGCTAAGCTAAGCTAAGATGGGATAAGCAAAGCTAAGCTAAGGGGACGTAGCTGGGGGAACCGCGGGGCGGATACTGGGGGAACCGCCCAGGGCGCTTTCCACTGCCCGGCCCCTTTAAGCCCAGAGAATATGAACCCTTCTAGGCAGAGCCTAGGTAGGGAACAATCTGCTCACCATATCGTAGTTGTTGCTGGAAGTGGCGCGGGGTGTCGATACCAGCCTGGCTGATATGATATTTCTGATGTTTGGGATGGACGGTAGTGTATATTATGATGCGTGGAGGGAGGCCATTAACCTCTGCCTCGGAGGAGGGACAGAGGTTCTCGCTTGGGGGAAAAGGGCTTATGCGGTTCAGGCAGCGTAGATAGCAGGCAGCGCAGACTGCAGTGCGAGCTGTGTGGCGGGAGCTGTGTGGTGCAGCTGCGGTTCTCCGTCCGCGGCAGCCTGCGTCGCGGGGGGGCGCACCCCGTCGACGGGCTGGGCCCCCGAAGCCCTCGGACTGCCCCCTGGCTCGGGCGCAGAACAGGGGAGCCCTGCGTCCCCTCGCAACCCCGCCCTCCGAATGCACCAGCGTCGATCGGCGTCTGGTAATCGATGAGATGGCGCCAATTTAGCGTCGATTAGCGTCGGCTCGCCTTGATTAGCCTCGATTCGCAAGGGCCAGCGCGAGGGTATGGGAGGCCCCCATGAGTTTCCAACGATCCGACGTCATGGTTTTGTCCACAACGTGGACCCCCAGGGGCCTCGACCCATGCACCAGGACCGGCTTCTCGTCCTGGGTCGTCTTTTCACGGGCACATGGTGAACCTGTCGTCAGTGTTTGTTTCACGACGCGAGGGATCTTGGGCCTGGGGGTCGCAAGTCGACCATCAGATTTTGGAGGCGAATCCAGTCGGGCGATGAGAAGCCCCCCAGAGGCCCCAAACAATCGGCGGCGAGATGGGTAGGGTTCAGGCTTCGTCGAACACGTGGCGCAATCCGAACCCTACCCCCGGCCTTTCATCGATTCAGGGGAATCGATGGTTGGTGGGGGTAGTGTTCGAATGTCGCCACCCAGAAAAACAGCCTCGATCCTCGAAGTTCGAAGCCTCAAGCTTCCCCGGAGCCCCACAGAGGCCCGACAAGCCTCGAGGCAAGAAGGTCGAAGCTGACGGCCTGTGGCGCCCTTTTCGGGGACCCCCCCGGAGGCGGGACGCCCCCGACAAGACGCTGCCCGCCGTGGCTTTCTCACCGCGCGAGGGGGCTTGGGAGCTGGGCGGGCGGGTGGGGCTGGCGCGGCTGGCCTCGCGCCCGTCCGCGCGCGCGAGCGGGGAACGAACAGGAGGGAAAGTAAACACACAGACACAATGAATCGTCAATTCCCCAGAAAATATTGGAAAGTATGGGAAGTGGGGGGGAAGACAAAAGCCTAGAAAGTATTGGGAAACATAGGGGGTCCTGGTATTTGTGTGTATTTCTTTGCGTGTCCCTGCGCCCCTTCAAACGCGCCTTGGGCCAGCCGCAGGGTGAGGGGGGAGGGCTTCTGCAGGGGGTATGGGGGGAGAGGCGCAGGGGGGAGGGCTTCTCAGAAGGCGCGGGCCTGACCTACAGTCAGGTCGGGCCGATGTTCGACGAAAAATAAGAAATAGCCAACAACTATTCAAAAATGGTCCAAAAATAATCGAAACATCGTCCCCAGACTCTTTAAACAAAAAAAACTATTTCGGAATGTTCCTCCTGTAGAGGGACAGGCTCGACTTCAACCTGCAGATGTCGGGCTGGCGCCTTCTGAGAAGCAGCCTCCTTCTGAGAAGCACTCCCCCCTCCCTCCCCCCCAATCTGTGCGCGCCGCCACAGGCGCCACGGTCGGGAACGCTGGCGTCGCGCGTCGCAGCACGCTGGCCCGCCTCGCCCTGGCGCGGCAGGCTACCTTGGACGGTGAACTGCGGACGTTGCCGCTCGTCTTGGATGGAATGCACATCGGCGACGGGCGCCCAGTGGCGCTCAGTAGCGCCAACTAGAGCCCAGCAGCGCCCAGCAGCGCCGACGAAGGGGTGTTCGAGTTGCGCCCAACAGCGGCCAATAGCGTCCAACAGCGCCACGTGGGAGAGATACATTCTGTCCGCATCGCGTGCAAATGGGCGCGCTATGGGGCGCCATGGGGACGACCGAGAGCTTCCATGAGTTGCTATCTAACGTCCCAGTCCCAGCGCGTCCACGTCCAGACCTTTTCCCAGCTTTCTGCCCCGCGGAGCGGAGCGACACGCTAGCCGCTTGCACGGCATAGCGTTTCGCCGGGCCCACCGCTGCGACACGCTAGGCACAAGCGCCTGACCGTAGATGCCCGAGCGTGGACCTCTTTGTTGAAGCAAGCATCCGAACCGACGACCTTTCTCGCCGACGATCGCCCTGTCAAGCATCCTTCTGGGAACAGCCAGACAGGCCAGTGCAGTGCTGGACGGAAGCAAAGGGGAGTTTGTGCACGAGGGCCAGAAAAGGCCTAACTTCGTCAGAAAACCACAGAAAATGGACCAATGCCGATGGGCAGTTCAGGGTGCAATTCATGGGAGGTTTAGTTCAGCATCGGCACTGGTATATCCGCGGTCGATAACCAGCCTAAGCCGGCATAGTCCAGCTGAATTTGGTTCACTCATTTTTTAATTTGGGCGAGTTGGGCTGAATCTTGGGTTCAATCCAGCCTAATCCGGCTTAGTGGTTGCAATTGCCCTGATGCGTTCTCACCAGGAAGTGCCTCCTAAGATAGCAAGGAGTCCATGGAATAATGCGCAGCAGAGTGTTTTTCAATGATCTGGCGATAACCCTGGTGATCGGGCCCACCCGCTCCCATCCCCTCCCCCCGGATAACCTGACATTGTCGATCGCGCAGGTCCACATGGGGGTACGCAGTCTTGGTACGCGCAGGCGTACGTGGGGATGCCCATCAGAAAAGGTTCTCGGCCGGCACCTCCCTCCGCTCCGCCCCCACCGGAGAACCCGGGCGATCGCCGAGAAATGAGGAACGATCTCCAGAAGTTCCCCCCTTGATGAAGGTGGCAAGGGGTCCGTGGTCGAATGCGCCGCACTGCCAGGCGCATGACGACCTGCTCCTCGCCGGCATCCTGGACGGGCTGCCGTCGCCGAAGGCGCGGCAGGCCGCGCGGGGACGGTCGGCGCCTCCCGTGCGGGCTCCTCCCGTGGGCCCCCTTCCCTGGTCTCCCTGCCCTCCGAAGTGGCCCTGACATCGCTCGGACGGGTGCACTCCTTGTTTCGGCCGGACCAGCGCCAGAGAGTCTGTCCTTGGAGCCGTTCGGGGATCTGACGTGACCGAGCACCGATGCTGGCGAGCAGGACGGGGGGGAAGAGGTCAGGTGTTGTGTGCTCGGGAAGGTGTTGTGCCTTCTTTGGCCTCCGGGGGGGCGTTTTCGGGCCCCGGGACCGTCCAAAGCAGATGTGCCTCGGGAGGGGTCCGGGGATCGATGTTGAGCGAATCTGCCACCCCCCTCCTTGAGAATGCCATTTTCTCGGGGCCCGTCCAGTGCAGAACCCCCCCGGCCGCCTCCAGGCCTCCCATGGCCTCCTCGGGTGCTCGGCACCGCTCGGGCGTGTGCCTTTTTTTTTGGTCGGCGAGGCCAGCGCCCGAAGATCTGCTCCGTCTCGGAGACCTGCCGAGACCGATGGGTTTTGAAGGATCTCGGCGTACGCGCGCGACGACGCGCGCGTCTGCACTTCGTCCCGTTTGGATGACCTCGAGAAGCAGCGCGCGTGGAATCAAACAGCGTGCGGGGACGGGACGTCCGAACAATTGCAGAGTGGGGTCCGAGCAGACTGTGTCGAATGGCCGCGCCGATCATCGCCGATGCAGCGGCGGTGCGGATCGATGCGGAGCCCGATCTCCGCCACGCCGAGTGCGCCGATCATCGCCGACGTCACCGACGCATCTCCGATGCATCAGCGATGCATCGGCGATGCATCGGGAGCCCTCCATTGGGCTCTCCCAGATCTCCGACGATCTACTTTTCAACCTGCGCTTTGTTCTTAGATTTCTACCCTCGGGTGTCGTTCTTCCGTTCTCGGGCCCGGAAACTATCAAACACGCATCCAGACTAACCCTGGGGACACGGTCGGGTGTTCTGGGGCCGTTGGTTGAAAACGTCACCATGTCGGGCTTTGGTGGGTGACCTCGTCTGGGAGGCTGCGACGCACAGGCCTCCATCGAGTCATGAACAAAAGCGCGACAGCTGATTTGTTGTTTTTTTCTGTCTCCAGGTTCCTTGCTGGGCTGCGGGACCGTCAAACAACTACCAGGATGAAAAGCGGGTCCTGGGGAATGGGTCGAGACTTCCAGGGGTCACGTGGTGAAACAATCGCGCCATGATGGGGCCCGTGAGGGCCTCTGAGCTTCAGAAATCCTGGGGGCACCTGGTGTCATGTCGGACGCCTTTGGCAACACCCGATGTTCGGGTCTTCGGAGGGCAGCAGTGCGCCTCTTAAGTCGATCATGACAAAGGCAACCAGACTGGGGTTTACGAGATCTCAGGCGGAAACGTGGCTGCGGTTTTCCGCCATTTCCAGATGGATGCCGGTTCGCGTTTTTCTTTTTCTTGTGCCTCCCACGGAGGCCCTCGTGGCCATGGCTGGACACATCTCGAAACATTAGTCGGGGTTGTTCTGGAGGAGAGGGATCCGGGGACTGAGCTTTTCGTTCGACGACGCGCAAAGAGGGGTTGGGCAAGAGTCAGGCGGGGACAAAAGCACACAGACACTAATAAACGTCGACTCCCAGGAAAATCTGGGAGAATATGGGAAGTGAAGGGGAAGACGAAACTCCAGAAACTATTGGAAAACATCGGGAATCCTGGGACTTCTGTCAATTTATTTGTGTGTCTCTGGGCTCCTTTATTTAATCGCTTCGCTCATTCCGCCAGCCCTGGAGCCCTCTTTAGGGCCTCTTGGTGGCCTCTTGGGGACCTCTTGGGAGTCTCTTGGGGCTCCTTGGCGGCGTCTTGGGGGCCCCCATGGCCTCTTGGGGGGCTCCTGGGGGCCTCTTAGGGCGGGAGGGCGGGGTAGTCGATTGCGGCTCCCCCCTCGGATGCCACGATCCTCGTGAGGGGTGTCGGAAAATGGCCCTCCCCTGGAGTGCTCTGGGGGCTTCTCCCGGGCTTCTGCCGGGGTACTGTTCGTCCGGGGACCCCCAGGGGCCGCCCCGCGCGCGCGAACTAGAATATTGTGAACCAGTTACCGAAGATCTTAGCACGCCTCTGGCCCGTTGGGCCGGCGAATTCAAGAAGAACCCCCGTCTCCTCGAAGGTGCGAGGCGCATGGCGTTCCAGTGGTCCTCCCCTTCCAAGAGGCCAGCCCATGCCTTCTTAGAAGGCTGCCCTTCTCGCCCTGTCCATTTTTCGAGCCGACCAGCGACAGCGGCGGAGAAGCGGGTGGCAGGATAGTCTCGGAGTCACGGCTGTCAATTAGAGCACGGGTGGTTCCCTTCACCAGCCAACTTGCGGTGCTTGTCGACAAGTGAGGATACGAATCTCGAGGCCTGGATCGGTGGACGGCGGATAATTACGATGATGAGGTGCTCAGTGGGGAGCACCGGGCGATGTTCCACCTCACTAGCGCGCTCGGTGGAGGGGATAGCAGGGGCAGAAGGAGCAGGGGGATGTGGCCAGTTTTGTGTTGGTGTTCGTTGTGGGCAGAGCGCTGCTGCCCCCGCCCTGCCCTCCCACCTGCTAACCTCCTGCTGTTTTCCTCCCTCCTCATGGTATGCCTTCCTCCTGGCTCCCACCCCGCCTCCTCCTGCCTTCTGTCTCTTGCCTGTCTCCCGCCTTGCCTTCTACCTGCCAAGCACGAGGCGAAACCTCGGCTGACCAATCCAATTCCTCGTGGAACCTAGCACAATGTTAGCCGGCGCTGACCTAGCACAAACCTAGCAACATATGTTGCGCAACATGTGTAGGTCAACTAGGGTATCTCAAAATGTGTTGTGCAACCAATGTTGTGAACATGTGGTGGCATCTCTGAGGTCTTGTATATGTTGTGCCATCCATTTGAAGCTCGGTGGTGCAATGTATGTAGTGCGACCGAGTACCTTGCACCGCGCTTGACCACCTCCACTGCTCGCGCAATCATCCCACCCACCCACCCGCAGCATGGTTTGCAAAACCCATGCGGTGGCAATTTCGATGACTGCTTGACGTTGGCTGGTCCATCTCTGCGGCCGCGCCGGCCCAAGCACGCGCGCGCAGCGGCCAGCTAGTTTGGCGCGACAGACGCGGCCGCGGTGGCGCCGACCGTTTGGCACATCCCACCGGGAACTTCAGTGCGAGTCGGCGATTTGGGTGGGCGTGGTATCATGGCAAGTTACGACACCGGGTTTTTCGACTGATTCCAGCATGCGCTCGCGACGACGCGAACGTGTGCATTTCTCCGTTTGTTGTAAAACAATTCTCGGGACGGCACGCGCGCAAGGGCGTTCGAACGATTTCGACGCGCGCGCGCGCGTAAAGAACTTTTGATAACATGTTATTTACATGTTGAACAGCCAATGGTTTTCTCAAGACTTTGCTGGAGTGCGCGCACCAACTTTCTTGCGAAACCATGTGTGTTTTCTATGTTTCGTTCTTTTCCTGACATTCGATGATGACATCCTTACGAATCCGAAGGTTTTGTCAACGAATCCGAATGTTTTGTCGGCACGCGCGCGCGACAACGCGCGCGTGCGCACTTCGTCTCACGTTTGAGAAACATATTCGAAAACGGATGGTTTGTCATAAGCGAACTCGCGAGCACAGTATGTTTTGCACATGATGGCGGGGGGATACCGTTTGCGCCGGGATGCTACGAAGTCATATTTCGGATGGACGGTGGGGCAAACTTCTATGTAATTTGCAATGCGAAATGGAGGGCGGATAATCCTGGGGGGTAGAGCATGTTACTTGAAAGTGGAATACACTGAGTGGAATATAGGTTGTGGGCTCCGGTATGGCGCGATCAATGTAGCGTACACGATGTGAAGCAACCGATGTCTTCCAACACATGTTGTGGAATATTTGTTGTGCATGTTACGTTGCGCAATCTATGTGGTGCAGTACAGGCTGTGCAGCTTTAGGCGGGGCGCAATATAGATACCGCGATTTGTGTGGTGCAAAATATACGGTGCAGCTTATGTGAAACACCTGACTGATGTTCACCCGTGTTGTCTGTTCCATTCATCGTGCAATCATCCCACGCACACATTCGCAATATGGTTTGCTAAATCCGTGCGGCGGTGACGCAGGCTCGCGCGCAGGGCGGCCAGCCGCTTTGGCGCAACCGACGCGCCCGCGGTGGCGCGGACCGCTGGGGTCTTCGCAGCGCGTCTCGTAGGCCGCGCTGACGCGCGAGCACTTCAGCGCGAGCCGGTCTCGGGGGAGCACAATGTCATGTTGACGTCGACGACGGCAGACTCGATGATGATCATAGCGATGGTGGTGACGATGTTGACGATGATGACGACCAGGCCAATGCCGTCGCCAGTGATGACTACGCCGATGAATTTGACAGGGACCGCGACCAGAAGGTGTTGGTGTTCACACGTCGGCGATGAAGGTTTTTGAAAGATTTCGGCATGCCCGCGCGGCCGGCGCGCGCGAGTGGCCCGCATGGTATTTTTCGACAGCGGCTGTGCCCGCCCCCCCAGCAAGCACGCATGGGCGTTCGACTGACTACTAGATGCGCGCGCGACAGGCCCGCTGTGCCGGATTGGGTGAACATGTTGATTGATTTTTGTTTCCCGACGGAATCGCAAGAGCGCGCGCGCTATTTTCTGCGCAGGCAAATCAGCCAGTTCATTGGTAATTTTTCTGGAAGCTCGATCTTGAAATCCTTACGCACCCAGCGGTGCTCGTCACATGTCGTCATGCGCGCTATCGACGATGCGCGCGTGTGTAGTTTGTTTCTTATGTTGCACGGCAGTCTTTGTTGATGTTCTTCGATGCACGAATGCGCGCGCGTAGCACGCCTTGATTTGGATGGGGGAGGGTCGGTACCAGGTCTCCCATGGATGATGTGAACCGTACTACCTTGGACAATCGGGTATAATCGCATTTGCATGGTACTATCACAATGGGAGCCGATAGTTCTTGCGGTGTGGGGCTGATTTAATCCGATTTTGAATGGAGGGTCGATGTGGTGCAATCTATGTTGTGCGATCTATGCGGTGCGCAACCTACGTGGTGCAATCCAGGCGTTGGATTGAAATATTGTCCGCAACGAGTTGCCAACTCCAGTGCTCTCGCAATCACCCCACCCACCCACCCGCAAGGTGGTTTGCTAAAGCCATGCGGCGGCGATTGAGGTGACTGTTCGGCGATGGCTGTCGCATCGCTGCGGCCGCGCTAGCGCGCGCAGGCTCGCGCGCAGAGCGGCCAGCTACTCTCACACGACCGATGTGGCCGAAGTGGCGCTGACCGCTAATGAGTCCCCTGCGCGTCCCGCAGGCCGCGTTGACGCGCGGGCATTTCAGTGCGAGTCGGTGATTCGGGTGGCGGGCGCAGTATCGCGGCGACGTCGGCACTGGCAGACACGATGCTGATCGTGGCGATGCTGGTGGCGATGCTGACGATGACGACGGCCAGGCCACTGACGGCGCCGATGCTGATCACGTCGATGAGTTCGACATGGACCGGGCCACACACACAGTAAACGCGCACGGGCGTTCGAACGCTGTCGGATTGCGCGCGCGACAGGCCCGCTTTCCCGGATTTGAGGACCTTGTTGACACAGGGAGAGGAGACACAGCACAAACACATTTGCCGAATGAATTCGCAAGGAAGCGAGCGCAGACTTTTTTCGACAAACCAGGTTGCAACGTCATTGGTGCTTATACCTTCTCGGGGGAGTCGATCTTGAAATCCTCACGGACCCAACGGCTTCTGACGCCTGCCAGCATGCGCGCGCGACGACGCGCGCGTGTCTTTTGCTTCCTAGCTTTCAAGGAAGACCTTCGAAACGGGGATGGTACGACCTGGGCCCTCGTGGGATGGTACGGATTCACATTTACGACGGCGGCAACAAACGCGACGACCGACGGGCAAGCCCAGACGACGGGCGGCGACGAGGTGGCGACGAGGCGGCGACGGCGGCACCCTAATTAGCCGCCAAACCGACAGACAGGCCGAGACGACGGCCAGCGACGGCGGCAACAAGCGCGGCGACCGACAGACAGGGGCAGACAGGCGGCGACGGGGCGGCAAGCCCAGCTGCTTAGTAACCAGTAAGAGAACCTCTAAGTGCAAGCGCCCTTCCGGAAAAAAGCCACAAGAGCTGGATCCTCGACCGATCGATGACGACCGACACCGTCGTCAGCGGACGACCCAGCAATCCGACGTCGCGACTTTCTGTCAATGCGGACCCCTAGATGCCTGGACCCTTTCCCCAGGACCGACTCCTCATCCCGAGTCGATGTTTGACAGTCCCAGGCAGGGCTTGACCTAAGCGATGTTTTCGCGATTTCGTGGGCCGTGTTCGTTCCGCTGTCGTTCTGCAGCAGAGTCGGACCGAAGGCAACACGAGGGAGAACGAAAGCAACACAAAAACGAACAACATCGTTCAGGTGGATCCTTGTTCAAGGGCACTGAGAGGGTCCCCAGAGGGTGCGAGAATGTCTCCAAATCCGCGTGCGTCATGGCTTTTTCACGGCGCGAGGGGGTTTTGGTGGTCAAGCGTCGACCCCTTGGGCATCTCATAGGGCGCTCTCTGACAAGCGCAGGGAGGCGAGGCCAGCCGTGGTGACGAGAAGCCCCCCAAGAGGCTCCCAACCATCGGCGGCGAAATGGATAGGGTTCGGAAGTCGTCGGACACGTGTCGAAGACCGAACGTTACCCGCGCCTCTCATCGGTTCGAGCGTGCTTTTTTTTGCTTGGGGCAAAATGGGCATCATAGCCCCCGGCCCCCCCTCCGCTCACCCCTATCGTGTAACGCCCCTCCCCCCCGAGTGCGCTCTGGGCACTGCCGCCTTGCGCACGGCGGGGGAGAGGCGTTACATTATACCCCCCCCCGGCCCCTCCCCCCCCTAATGCCCAGTATCGCCGAAAATAAAGAAACGCGCTCTTCTGGGGAACCGATGGTAGGTTGGGGCCTGGGACCACGAGGAGCCTCGGGGTGTGGAGACGACCAGGGACCGACCACGACGACCGACGACCGATCAGGGACTGTATTTTGAGGGTGCGGGGATAATCTGGGTGATCGCCCCCCCCCCCAGAACAAGTATCCTGACCTTGCCGGCTGCGCGGGTCCGAAGGGGGCACCGGCAGTCTCCCACGACGAGTCGTTGGAGAGACGCTTTATTTTGAAGGCCTTGCGGCTGGTGCCGCCAGACCTCCAACACAGCACCCACCACAACGACGACGGCGGCGACGAACTGAGGGTCCTGCCACAGGCGCGGGACCCCGGGTCGAGTCGTCGTCGTGAGACTTCTTTCTGTTTCGGGTCGTCGTCGTCGTGAGGGGCGGCAAAGAATCCCCCGGGTCGAGTCGTCGTGAGGGACTTCTTTCTGTTTCGGTCGTCGTCGGCGACAGACGGCCGACGACGGCGAGCGGCGAGCGGCGAGCGGCGGCGGGAGGCCAAACGACGCGGCCCGAGGCGCCGGGGCGTCTGGGGCAGCGGCCGCGCCCGGCGGCCCTGGACCTCACGCGGACGAGCGCCGCCGACGACGACATCCTCGCGGGCCTCCTGGAGGCGCTCCCCGCCGCCGCGTGCCGTCGCCGTCGTCGTCCGCCAGGGAAAGGGGCGGCTCCTGCGGGGAAGGGGTCTCCCGGGCGGTCTGCCGCGCGCTGGCGTGTCCTGGGGGCCCTCCACGGGCCCCGCGGCGGTCAGAGAGCGGGTCGGGATGAATCAGGAGGGGGAAAAACACACACACACACACACACACACACACACACACACACAGACACAGTGAATCGTCGATCTCCAGGAAAACGTGGGAAAAGATGGGAATTGGGCGGGCAGACAACATCCCAGGAAATCTGGGAAACTATGGGGAATCTTTGCATGTGTGTCTATTTATTTGTGTGTCCCAGGGCCCCTTCACTGAAGAGCTGGCCATGGGGGAAGGCCCCCGGGGTCCAGGGCCCGTGTCCCTCGGGACCCGCTGCTCATGCATGGCACGCCTCGAATCTCGAGGACCGAGGGCCTCGTGCGGGGCCTCTGGCCAGAGCCGGGGGGCCCTCCCGTCGCCACGGCTGGATTCGCCTCCGGATTCTCGTCGGGACGCGCCCCCGCGGAGGTGGAGGGGGTCGTTGGCCCGCGGAGCCAGGCCCCCTGTGGCGTCGTGAGAAGACCATGTCGCGCGGTTTGGGCCATTCTCGGCCTCTGGGGGCCCTCGCGGGGCCTCCTGGAGGCGTCCCCGCCGCCACGGGTCGTCGCCGTCGTCGTCGGCGGCGGCGTCGTCGGCGTCGTCGCCGAGGATCGCAGGCGATTTCTCGCCCCCAACCCCGCCGAGGATCGCGGGCGATTTCTCGCCCCCCCCCCCAGACCAAATTAGCCCAAAGGGCTGGTGGGATTTCATCGCCTTGGATACAGCGGGTTGCTGTGGTCGCAGCCGCCGCTGTCCTTGGAGCGTGCCCTCCCCCACCGTCGTGGAGTGCAGCAGCAGCAGCACTCCCCACGCGAAGACATGGCGGTGGGGAGCGACTTTGGAGAACCGCACGCTTCTGCAACCCTCCTTGGTCCCTGGGGGTCGGCGAGAGCGGGAGCGTCAAAGCGGATGACACAATTGTTCTAGCATTATGTAATTTGGTCTGCTACACTTTCGCACTCCCTGGGGAGGTTTGAGGGAGAGAAGTCGCAGCGGCATTTGCAACCCCATCCGCCACAGCCTCATGACCTAGCGCTAGAAATCTCGAACCAGAGCCAAATTCAAGGTTGTTCACATTCCGGTGGGCCGTGAACTTCGAGACCCCCATTCCCGAAGTCCGGGCTGCCCCCCCCACGGATCACACATTTCACACCAGAAAAGGTATTGCTTCTGTTGTAGATTGAGTGGGTTGGCTTCGACTGGATCCCACAAGATTCTGGTAGTCCATGTAAATGTCCGTACTTCCAGGGCAGGTCGTGGCACGTGCAATGACACGGACGTGCTCAGCTGCCGGGGACGGTGGGCTAAGATGTGAGCCCACACCTCCCTCCTTGAACTCGCCACTGCACGGTTGCCGTTATCCTCGATCGTGGCGATTCCCGGCCAAGAGCGATGAGAGTGGGTAGGCCCTCGTTCAAGACAGCTGCCATCCCCAACGAGCCTCCCCGAAAGCATCTCGTCGACCGGCCTGTGACGGCGGACCCGAACACGGGTCGGCGCCATGTCCACAACCGTTTGGTCCTGGGACAGCAAGATCTGGGACCGCCTGGGCCCGGTTAAGAAAGGCCAGTTGAGGAGGAGGAGGAGGAGGAG